CTCACCTCTGCATTTAAAGAAAGAGGAATTGAGCTGTGGAGATATCAAGGTAATTTACCTGAGGTTAGGTGGTTAGTATTAGATCCTTGCTTTTAATTTAATGTTATTTTTATTGGTTCAGCTGGATTTGAATGACCTTTCATTTTTCTATTCTTACAAGATTGTTGATATTTAGAAGAAATTTTTCTATATGGTTTTTTATAGATCTCTCTCCTTTAGCTCAATTTTATATGAACATCTGCCCATTGAAATTATCTCAGATTACTCTGAAGGGCAGAGTGTCAAGAAGCAGAGAAAATAGTTTTGTTTTTAAAGATTGAACATAATTTGTTCAATAATATATGTAGATATGTGTGTATACATCATGTGTGAGTATAAATAATACAATGTTTAGAAGCATAGAGATGATTTATTTTAAAATCCATATTGTCTTTCTTTTTTATACATAAATTATCTACTCTATATTCTGCATTTAGGTCTTCTGATTTGTGTTCAGATATGTAAATTTATGTTAGAATCAAAGTACTATGTAATTTAACAATAATTTTTTCTGGGTAAATTATATAGATATGCACATACACACAAACACACATTTACAAACAAGCACATACGTAGATGAACCCAAAATTAAAATCTCTCTTTTCATATATGTGTGTGTATATATACATATATTATATATAATATATGTATATATAATCATATATATATATATGATTGTTTATAATATACATAGACACATAGACATACACACAATAATCTATTTTATCCTTGTGATGTTACCTCTATCCACTTGGAAAATTATGGAACTATTTCTATAACTTGTATACCTAGACAAAAAAGAATTATTTGCCCCACATTTCTTTAAAAAATGTATTTTTAAATTCACATCTTAAAAGGTGTTTGTAGATGTCTTTGGGGACAGCATATCTGGTTGATTTGTATTTTAATTTTAATATATTGTCCACTGCTTACTTCATAAACCCTCTAATTCAAAATGTGTATATCAATCAAAATTTTAAATTAATAGTGTGGCTCTTTTCATCTTAGAAAACACTATTAGGTTAATATTCTAAACATTTTAGGGGAATAATCTTAAGTCATACCATAGTTTCTTTTTTAATATTTTTCAAAACATAACTGACTTCACAAACACCAACTATAACATGATTTAGACAACCGAGAAACAGGCAAGTGTATTTTAAAATGCTAAAATAAAACACATTTATACAAGTACAAAGCAAAACTGCTGATAAAAATGTTAAACTTTATGAAAAAAATCATTTGCAATTCACATCAAAATAATTTAACATTCTCTACCATTTTAATAGTATAAGCTGCAACAACAGAAAAAACAGATACGCGCACACAATTTTAAAACCAAATCAGTTATAAGTGCAGAAAAAGTAGGTACAAGCACTTGTAGCCCACACAAATTTTTTAGGATTGGCACCATCTCTCTAAAACATCTATATTCTATATAGATTTCTAATTACAACACCACCAGCAGCTGCCATTGAATTCTAGAAATACACACAATATACATAGTATATTTGTTCACATTGGGAAGATCAGTGAAATTCAACCAACTATTTTATACATGCCTCATTTTTCAATAGACAATAGAGAATCTTCCAGGCCTCAAACTTTTTCAAAGCAAATTCTAATTTATCTTTACACATTCACTGATCTGTATATTTTTTCACAGTATAAAATTGTAAATGGTAACTATAGAGATTCTGACAGCTTGAGGGTTATTAATAAGCTGTTGCTAAATGTGAACTCATATAATACCTTTGAAGTCTCCAAAACATGTACATTTTGCTGGGAGACTAGTATAGGAAAAGTTTTTTTTTCTTTTTTTCTTTTTTCTTCTTTTTTTGTTTGTTTGTTTTTATTAAAAAAATTGTTTAATTCCTGGTTTGGAAGTCACAGAACTGCAAAAAAGCCATTATACAATTCAGTTACAGTCAGAAATAACTCCTAGTCTTCCTGATCACTTGCTGGTAATATCAATAGTTTGGAAAAGACAATTACTTTCAAGGATTAGCACATTTGGGGATTTGCTTTTTTCTCTTGCTTCAAATTTCTGATGATTTTCCTTTCCATACTCCCTTTCTGTTTTCCACTCCTAGCCTAAAAATAACTTTCCCCCCCAATCCAGATATGTTCTTCTCAGGCTGCCCCCACTCTTCTCCCACAGAAGACGAGGGGATTGCTTAATCAGTACAACTTGATCAACCCAGGTCTTCTCTTTTTCTTTCCAGGACCAGACTCTCCTGTTGTGTCACTTTGCTGATCCTTAGTATTTGCCTGTACTTTCCCTTTCCTTTTAGACATACAGATCCCTACTGAATTATATTGGGCACCAGTAACAGATTGTTTCCAAGGAAATAAAAATAGGTACCCCGTATCTAGCCCTGGAGTACATGTCAGTTCTCTCTGTATTGTAGAGTTATTACTTGGAACCTGGTATTAGAATTGGCAAAGAGACAATTAGCATCATTCCAAAATAAAACATCTCAAGAATGTATCACTAATAATTTTATGTCCAATATACAATGTATTTAATGATGTGTCAAAGGTCATAGAAATATAGAGAAAAATACATCTTGTTCTCTATTTTTTTATTATTATAGTTGATAATGACATGTGAAATAATCAGGTGAAAATTTATTTGCATTAAATTTTAATTTCTAATGAAGTTTTCCAAGGTGATGTACTTTTTAAGGAAATGTTACTGACAAATAAAAACAAAGAATTTAGTCATGGAGAAAGTTTTTAAAATGTTTTTTTTTTTTTTTTGGTCAGTAGAGTGAAACTTATTGTACTTGAGAATAAAATAGAAATCAATGTAAGGATTTAATAACACAAATTGTAAAGCTTAGAGAATAGAACATATTTAGAAATATACCTAGGAAATCAAGACAGTAATCCCCAGATGAGTRTCACCTTTCTGATGGGGATCCAGGAGTGTTAATATTTCCAAATATTTACATTAGTTTTTCAGGTGGAGGCAGACATTTTCTTTCAATGAAATYAGGAGAATTAGCTTCATGAATGAAATAGGATTTCATTTCTGTTTCAAGAGTCTCACTCATATTTGGGATCAGGGTGCTCTGATGATGTTATTTTCAAATCTGGCATAGGAGGTTTGATTACTGTTAAGAATATTTTAGAAAATTAACATTAGCTTTAAATGTTTTATATTGGGAGAACTGACTTCAAATTTCAAGTAAGAGCTTATCAGAAAATAAGGATATTTAGCTAAAAGGAAAAATTCTATTTATTTTTCTCTCTRCCAAAAATAGACTTCTGCCTCACAGCAAATCTTTTTCATAAGGCTATCTTTAGTATAAGGCTRGGTCAACTGAACTTTAAATTTATAGGACACCTCCTCCTTTTATTACTATCTTTATTTAGAAATCAAAACATTTGGTACCTGAGGATAGCTGCAATGGGATGAATAAAGAGATGACAGTGAATTMAGGTCTTGAGCTATGATTTTTACCTTATATGATCCTATCAAAGCACATATTTTWATTATAACTCTAAATCTCTTTTCTGCAGTATTTAAAAAGTGACAGTATGAAGTGCACAAAATCATATTAATACTTATTTTTAAAACGAAAATATTAATAGTTGCTTTGCCTTTTTTTCTTTTTCTTTTTGGAATGGCTAAGAAAGACTTGTTAATATTCATTAAGGTTMCTCTGTTTCAGTATTCTGTATTGCTTTGAAAAATCTACGCTTGTCATAGTTCATAGCTGCCCTGTGTAAGCAGCCAGGAAAAGATAAAATCACTGCTCATGGGCACAGCAAAATCTTTGCTAAGCCTACTTGACACAGTTTAAAATTTTCAGTGTATTAATATTATATTAATTTTTCAACAATAGTCCCTCCAATAGTGACAACGTCTTCGTTAGGTCTACGGACCACTCTTCCAGTGGTGGGACTCAAAAAGAACAGAGGAGCTCTTGTGCATCAGGTTCTCAAAAGAAAGGAATGAAGAAGYCCAAATGCATATTTTAATATTTTAGCTGGCAACACTAACGGAACAGGAGTGGCTGTGTATCATGAAACAGATCGCCAGGCTGGAGCTCAAGAATTATTATTATAAAGAGAAATTCCAGCTACACAATGCACCCCAATGAGGGAATTACAAAATGGTATTCCAGAAAATATTATTATCATTTTTTTGCTACTCCAGTATTGATTGGCAACATGGTGAAATAGTCAAGAAATCTTCCACTGGTTTTTCTTGGTTAATGGAGGTGAATCTGAAATAACTAGGTGGAATTCCAGATGCAGGCTTTTGGAAGAGTATTTCACAACCAAATTGGAGAGGAAARTCTCAGGTAGAAGCTCTAGGTGCATTAGCGCAGCACTCACTATCCAGTTGTGTGTTATGCATGGGACATACTCACAACAACYCCCACCTCTAAGTACTGGGCCCAAGGTACTGCTTTCCAAGGTCTTTAAAGGAAGGAAAATAAATAAATAAATAAAAAGTAACCAGAAAGGTTGACGTTTTGGTCCCAGATGTAAGAGTTTGTGAGAAAATGTACATTCATGTTTGGTGAATCAAAGACTCTTCTGGGAAAAGAATTAAAGTAAACAAATAAAACTTTTTACAGTTGCTTATTAACTACGCTTTCACCTTCCATTATGCTTTTTCACTCTCTCTGCTTTCCCTAGAGCAAAGCACTTGGWATGTAACTGTTTTAACAGACTCCTTGTCAGCCCTCAAAAATATAAGCAATGTTTCTTAAAAGCCCATGTTTTCTAAGGCCACTAGAAGAAAATCTGCCAAAAAATTTGTAGTTGGTGTCTTCTTCGGTTGTTGTGAAATAGCACTATAATCTCGTGTTTCCATCAAGGCTGAAATCTGCATCTTCTACCTCAGGTCCTAACAAGATGAGAACGCGTGTCACTGCGTCCCTCCATGTGAACACGGAGATCTCTGCTCTGCATGCGGATCCCAGCATGGTTTCCAGTGACGTTCACAACGACGAGGAACTCTGAGTGTAATCTCTTATGATAAGAGTGTCATATTTGGGAGACGATGGTATACAGAGGGCTGATTCAGACACTGGCGAGTTGGGGGTCGTACTCCCMGAGTCCACTGAGTCTCTGAAAGGGGACGGCGGGGTGAGAGCCACCAGCTCCTCCAGGTCTGGCTTGCCTGCCGCCGCCTCAGGAACTGCTGCCAGGGTCTCTGGAGTAGCGCCCCCTGCCGGTGAGGCTCCCCCTGCGGGCTGCGTGCCACCAGTGACCTCTATAGCGGGCAGAGGCTGGATTTCGGCGAACGTGGTCATGGTCGTGGGCAGTTGGATCTCTTTGGGGATCAGGTAGRACGAGCAGAGAGGAGCGCCCACTCCGGGGCCAGGAGCAGCGGTGGACAGCATCATGGAATTGAGCTCACTGATATTGGCGGTGAAGCSAGTCACCACGCTGCTGATCTGCTCCATGAGCGAGCCCTGCGAGGAGCTGCTGCGCGCTGCGGGCTCCGAATGCAGCGAGGGCACGTCGTCTTCCGTGCGGCTGGCCGAGCCCGCGCGGTGGCTCAGCGTGCTGATGGGCGACGGCGAGCGCGGCCGCGCTGGCGCAGGGAACTGCTCTTCCGCCTCCGCCACGTCGTACAGCGCCTTGGCACCCGCGTCTGGGGGCTCAGCCCCTGCAGGGCTAGCGCTAGCACAGCTCGAGCCACCCACGCCCCCAGACGCCCCTGGGCCCGCGCTGCCCGCGCCGGTGCCCAGCCCGCGGCTCTCCGTGCTCTTGGGGAAGGGCTTGATGACGGCCGTTTGGTTGGGGTTCTCTTTCTTGTTGATGTGGACCGACAGCCRCTGCCATAGGTGCTGTCCCCTACTCTTCTCGTTCTGGGCCCAYGTGACAGATTTTCCATTAGAGCTGTTGAGAGAAAGAGAAGAGAGATGACTCAGCGAGGTCTGAAGGGGTCTTCCAGGTGGCTTCCCCAATGGTGGGTGATTGTGGGGACTGAGAAGGAAGGGCTTTTCCTATTCTTTCAAGAAATGACACATCAAAGGACATCATGGAAAGAGGCCTTTGGAAGTGTCTTTGGTTTTCTTCTGGGTTAAAGGCTGCTTTATTTTATCTGGCCTTTAGCTGTATCACTATCATGAACATGTGTCAGATGGGATAGAAAGCTACAGGAGCATTTTTCAGGATTCTCTGCCCACCCTTGARTACAACAGTTGTTTATGCTGCAAATCCAGAAACCAGGGTTTGTARTATTGTAGTTGTGTGCAGGAGTGCCTGTTACAGGGTAAGGTTTCCCTAGAGTTAGATGGAGGGGACATTATAACTACAATCTAAACTCACAGTCTCAAGAGGGGAGAAGGGTAGTGAGAGAATCAGGGTTTACCAGGAAGTAGTATGGTTCAAATTCAAATTTTATARTGCAGTTTTATATTTATAACAAGGTATTTCTATCTGAACTTAAGATTTTGAACTTGGTTTTATTTAGGTTGGCTTATTTGCTGGAAAATAATTAATTAGAAATTCTCTACTTCACATAAATTCTCACATTCTTTTTAAGCTTAAAACTTGAATTCCACGTGGAAGAATGAAATGCATCACTATGGCACCTATGATAGAGATTTCCAGTTTTGACCTTGATGAGTGTCATCTGACAAGGCCTTTCTCCCTSTATTCTTTCCCAAATAGTCCTTTTTGTTCTCCAACCTTGGCTGTGAAAGTTACTCTGATGAAGGTGTAGTTGGTTCCCATTCTCAAAGTCTGCACCCTTACCACCCCAACCTGACACAATGACCTCAAAAACTGTTCTTCATCAGGAATATCATGTCCCTGACCTGCAGGGACATCACATGGAAAAAGTTTGATGTGAATCCATGTCATGAATTACATGCAAGATTTCTGTGACTAGGGGATCTGTTACCTTTAATGCAGACATCTATATTTTAGGAGTTGTGACCAAGAGATAGCCTGGGGCAGTTTGAGAAGAATGGTGAAAAATGTAGTTTTATTGTATTAATTATACATAAGACTCACCTAGGGTGTTTTTCAAAATTGCCAGATCAGCCATGCCCCTGCCAAGAGATTCTGATTGTCTGAATTGGGTTTTAAGCATCTATGCTTTTTATCAGAACTCTTGTTCTGTGCCCCCTTCCCCAAGGTGACTGATGCTGGTGTTTCMCTGAGGAACTCTGACAGAAAGCTATCCTTTGTTCTAGGCTGTCATCTCTCCATTGCCAAGCAGGGGTCTAAACCCTGTTTGGAGCCCACTTGCTTTGAGGTTGCCTGATTGCACCTGCCAGATCCACTCTGCCTGAGACACTTGCTCCTTTGGAAACAGACCACTAACTCTATAGCCCTTTTAGCAACATTCTTCTTGACTTTCCTATACTGCTTGCTTCTTCATCTGTCCCTTTTTACTTTGTGGTATTCCTTTTTCTACTACTTCCTGTGAAATCTCATTTCATTTAATCTGCCCTATATATTACAACCTAATGTCCTTCAGAATTCTGGAATGTGAGATGTTTCTCACCACCCCCACTCACTTTTCTGGAAAGGATGAATGAAATCATTTCCAGGTTTGGAGGTTGGTATGCATCTATGGTAGCTGAAAGGGTACTGCCAAATGGTTGACTTTCCTTTCTAACATTGTCTCAGGATTTGTTTTTTCCATTTTGTATTAACCTGACCTGCTACCTTTTAAGTTTTCAATTCATTACTTTTCTTTTTCTCAGGTGACCACTAACTTCTGCATCATGGCACAGAAGAAATGGGCCAAATTATTCATGGGATTTGATTGAGAGGATGGTTGCCAACTACTCACTTTCTCTGCTACCTGCAGGTAAGAAACAGCCATTTTGGGAAGAGCAATTAGTCTTTCAGGTCACTGAGGCCTTTTTTAATACAAAGTATAGGCTAGAAACCAGAAGCATAACTGGATTTATTCAAGCAAGCTTTACCCTAGAGATGCTTTTGCTTTCAGCAGAGCAGTTTTGTAACATTTACTTTTAAAAGTCTTTCTCTTTCATTCTCTCTTGAATGCTTTTAGATTACTATGATGGAACATAACTTTGGATGTTAACAGTGACAGTCTTTGGACTCACACATAGTCATGCCTCAAACTATAACAGTATACAGAAAAACTTTTTGGTGAATAAGTGAAAAGAGAACCATCCTCACAAGTTTTGAACAAAATAGTTACATCTAATTTTCTGGTTGTGCCTCTGCACACAGTGCCCATGGCCTTGAGGGAAAAAGAGTACAAGAGCATCTGAGTAGACATAGAAGACATCAGAGAAATGGACTCCAAATCAGAGCACTTCATTTCATTCTGTAGAACATTATAGATTTTTTCCCCAAAGCAAACAAGAATTCATAAGAAAAAGAAAAACCTACTCATGGTGTTAGTTAGCTCGTTATTAGTGAAATGTAGGTTTTATGAAGTCAGTTCTTATCTTATTCAATGACAACAAAATCTTACTAAGACTTTTATAGATGAGTAGGATTTTTCAGCTAACAGGGCCATGTGTGGTGCTGTGGAAAGTGTAATGGACAAGAGATACTGGATTCTAATTCTGGATCTGCCATCCTGGGTGTTTGAAAAGAATAATCTCTAAGCTTCAGCAAGRAGCAGACAATGATTCAATTGGCAAAAGTTATTTTAAGGATTCAGTGAAACAACTCAGGGATATAGTAAGGAGAATGTGTCTAAGAATGTTCAGTTTTTGTGTTCAATGTRAATACAACATGTCAGTAAATAAAAGCAATATACTCAATGCCATTTTGAGCCCCAGTAAAAGAGAAAGAATTAAGGGAAAAATAAAATACATGGTAAAGCTATAAAATCTTTCCAGTTGTTTCTCCTTACTTAACCARTTTTAACAAATATTTGAATCCCTGGTCTTTCATCCTCTTTTTCTTACATTTCTGACTGGTCCCATCTGTTCCCACTAAATTCCATGTTATTCTCTTCTTGAAATGCTTTTTCATTGTGCTCCCTTCTCTCTTCTACTTTCTTTTTTGCTTAGACACAGAATATTTATTTACTTTCACATTTCACTTTAATTTTCTTGAAGAAAGCTCTCCTTAACTGAGACCTTGATTAGGCTGACTTCCATTTCTATAGCCATTTAGGCATTTGATAACTCTGGGTCATATGTGTGTCACATCTGCCAGATGGGCATCACAAAGGCACAGGTTTGTTATGTCCATAAAACCCAATGTGTGTGTTGCCTAGAACACTGCACACACTCAAAACTATATTGGGGCCAATAATTGAATGGATAAATGCATTTCATTTTTAAAATTTCATATTTTTTCTGTTAGAAATGAAGTTTCAAAAATGATTTAATATTAATTTTGTTTTATGGGTTTATTTACTTTGTATATCACTTTCTTTAAATCAGTAGTACTCAGTGTATCCAGATAAAAGATATTTCATCAATTAAATATGGTCTTGATATCTACAATGAAAATCATGAATACTTTTTTCATTCATCGCTGTGTGTGTGTGTGTGTGCGCGCACACACGTGAGTGAAATTTCTCAGTGATGAAGCTTAATGAAGCAATATGGATAGTAAAAGGGAAATACAACCTAAATGGTGGGTCTAAGAGCGGACCCTGATTAATGCTGGGCAAATCATTTAGCACTTTTGAGATTCCTTATGGCTAAAATGGAAGAAATGTATATCCATTGCCCAACTCACATGATTTTTTGGAGGCTCTACTAGATACATACATAAGAGGGTTCTCAATAAAGTATAGCAGTTCTGCAAGCTCAAGAAATTATTCATTATTGTGAAATCTTCCACTCAGTGGAGATGAGATATTGAGTTTATTATTTAGGATTTTTTTCAGCAGCAGGATTACATGTTTATTCTAGTGGCTTCAGGAAAACAAAAGAAAGGAAATTTTTCTTTACCTCTCCATAGATTTTACCTTTCTCCACTGCATATATTGGTTGTTAGAAAATCAGTGGAGGAAAGAGGAGTGGAAGAGAGARGGACAAGACAAAATGGTTTGCTACATATAGGAAGAAACCCCAAAATGCTTCCACTATTTTCCAGGTACCATTAACCCTTTCTCAGACATAATAATACTGTGCAATGTGATGTCTTCTSTTTTGTGATAATTTGCTCCTTACTTTTGAATAAAAAAATAAGCAGTGTATCAATAATGTTGAGTGTTTATCAACTTTTTTGTTTTCTTGGTTTTTTTTTTTGTTTACATTTCAGRTCTGCAAAAATGACAACTTCTACCTTGAGAAGTTTCCACTTCTTCTTTCCTTCAGTATAGGCACTTAAATRATTTATTAATTTCCAGCAGGCTCTAAATGTCAGCTTAATGGTTTCTCTACTTATTGCCCCAATATGAAGAAATTAGAGCATTTTGCCACAACATGACATCATTAGAGGCAAACATTAATAGAGAGAGAAGTTGACCGTCAAAAAACTTTGTGGAATTTATAATTATTTTATTCAAATGATTATTGAATAAACTGTGTAGTGTTTATTCYTCAGAACATGTTTAGGGTTGTATGAACAGTATATAAGCAATTAAAATTCTTCTATGTTACTGAATTTTATAAAAAGATAAAGCTAAACAACACTTTTTTTATTTTTTGTTGCATGGTCTAAGTTATGAAGTTCCTTCATAACTTAAATAGTTGCAGGGCATCAGAAAACTCTGAGTAATCAATCATGCCCACCAAAACTTAACAAGTATTTTTTATTAAAAATGGTCTTCATTACTGAGCCTCTCTTGTTTGGGTATTTTGATTTGAAGGGTAGCCAGGAGGGAGATGTATGATTATGAGTTTTCTAAGATTAAAATATTTGATAAATAAAAAAACTTGAAATGTTGTTAGAACATAGCAACTGCTGCCTGCAGAATGACATCAGAAAATATTAAGTGA